ATATTTGCTACGACCCCTCGTCATAATACACCTTTTATGTGCCTTCTGCTGGCATTTTGTGTTTTCCCTGTTGTGTCCCCTTATGTGCAGGTACATGATTGGCCAGATGGGGGTGCACAAAGGTATAAGAGGTCGCTGAGGTCGCTGATTTCAGTTCAGTTAAGAGTGAAATCATTAGTTGTTTGTTTGTTATTTTGGCGAGTACTCGTCCCTGAAGCCATCACCTCAACTTGTCTGAGCTTTGAAGAAAATAAACCTGTCATTTTCTGGTTTAAATGGTGTCCGGTGTCTGGTCTGGCAGCAGGTCTGGGGAGAGAGCCCACTCTCACTCTCTGTTACGGCTGGGTCAGACTGGGTCATAACATATTCGACAGAAAAAAAATATCAGCTTTGTTCAATTCTACACACGATTTTGTGTAACTGCAGACATCTGAGTGAGTGTGAGCTCAGAACAGTGCTCTAATTTCATTTCAGCAAAAGTAGTGCTAAGCAAAGCTATCTAGAAAGCAACTAGCCAAACAATGAATTTGCGATGTTAGACGCTTTCCTTGTACAAAAAGAGTTACATGGTCTGAGTTTAAAACTGAGGTCCCATATGGAAATCTGATATATGACAATACATAGATTTCAAATATATAACATTTATTAGCATATATGAATTTCCTTTACATATCCATGTATCCAACTGATATTAGACACATATGGTATATATGTGACACATACAGCAACTTATTTAAAATTGGCCATTTTCAAATATGGGACGTATTTCGGCCATTTATCAACATTTACAAACATTATATGTGTAGCACAATATATGATAAAAAACATTATTCATATATGAGTGTGTGTATGTGTATGCATACACACATACACACACACGCACACACACAGATATATATATATATATATATATCAGGCATAACATTATGAGCACCTCCTTGTTTCTACGCTCATTGTCCATTTTATCAGCTCCACTTACTATATAGGTTACAGACTGTAGTCCATCTGTTTCTCTGCATACTTTGTTAGCCCCCTTTTACCCTGTTCTTCAGTGGTCAGGACCCCCATGGACCCTCACAGAGCAGGTACTATTTGGGTGGTGGGTCATTCTCAGCACTGCAGTAACACTGACGTGGTGGTGGTGTGTTAGTGTGTGTTGTGTTGGTACGAGTGGTCCAGAACAGGGTAAAAGGCGACTACAGTCTGTAATTGTATATTTACATATCTGTAAAAAGTATAACTATACTAGGATGGATTCAACCACCAATCAGACATATATTTATTATCCATATTTTATGCATGCATGGCCATTTTTTGATACTTAAACATTTGTACACTCCAACAATTCTTTGATTAAAATCATGTTTGGTCAAATCCTTGATTAGCTTTATGTGCTGTACTGAAATAGGGTAGACCTGTGACGTGTAAAGTGACCAAAAAGAGAAAAAAATCATTAATGGCGGTTATTAGTCTGGACAGCAACAGTCATGGCACGCCAAATGGTGGCAGACAGTGAAATAGGTAATCAGACAGAGAAAGACACAACCATCAAATATCAGCTGATACTGTGTCTGGGCTTTGCGCTTCGTTGGTAGCCACCCCACACAGTGAGGTTAGTGGCTTAATGAAAATGAACACAGGAATATTAATAAAGGAAAGAGGGCAGAAGGCCAATGAGAGGAGCCCTGAGAGACAGTGAGAGGAGCCCTGAGAGACAGTGAGAGGAGCCCTGAGAGACAGTGAGAGGAGCCCTGAGAGACAGTGAGAGGAGCCCTGAGAGACAGTGTAATGCTTCTCATCTGTCCAACATCCCAGAACATTTGTGGCCTCTCTCCATCTCATTAATCCAAATTAATCCCCTTCTCTCTTTTTGAGCAGTGTGAGCGGCGCGTGTCACCGCTGGGGGTAGTAACCCTTTCCTGTAATCAGATTTCCTTCTTTTCCTCTGAGTCAGGATTTGATTGATTCCCTGGAATCCTGTATCCATAGCGGATATGGATCGCCTGCTCGTTCGCTAATTCCTGGAACTTATAATCAGAGGCCAGATAGCAACTGGTGCGTTTGAACTGAAGGCCGTTCAGATGGTCTCTACATGTACGGTTTATCGCTGATGTCATTGTATTGTTTATGTCATACACGTTGATTCCCTTTAACCCTTTAATGTCAGGGCAAAAACAAAAAAAGCTGTTTCTGCTGTTTAAAGAACTTTCTGAGCTAATGACATAATTTTTAATGCTGTGGCTGCATTTGTTTGAAAAAATATGACCTAACAAAGCAGAAATTTTGACATTTTTTATTTTATATCTGCCACAAATGACCTTTTTGAGTAAACGCATGCATAGACCTCTGAAGTCACGTTGTTATTCTGTAGAGATGGTTCTTCAAGGGTTCTTTAGTGAAGAAAATGGTTCTATAAAGAACTATGAACATTCAAAGAACCCTTTGCATGATTAAATGGTTCTTTGAATCATGAAATGGTTATTCAGATTGATGGAAAATGTGCTGTAGATGGTTCTATATAGAACCTTTTTGAAAAGGGTTCTATACAGCACCCAAAAGGGATCTGTATTGTTACAAGCTTGACATCAAAACAATAGTAGAACCCTTTTGGGTTTCCAATAAGGTTCTATAAATGTCCTATAAAGGTTCTAGAACCATCTATGGCATATTCCTAATAAGCATTTCATGATGCAAAGGGCTCTTTGAGTGTTCATGGTTCTTTATAGAACCATTTTCTTGACCAAAGAACCCTTGAAGGACCAAAAAGAATGTGTCGTGGATGGTTCCATGTAGAACCTTTTTGAAAATCCAAAAGAGTCCTTGTATTGTTATTATGACACGCTTGTAGCAATAGAAGATCCTTTTTAGGTGCTATATAGAACCCTTTTCCAAAAAGGTTCTGTGTAGAACCATCTATAGCACATTCTCCATCAATCTGAAGAATCATTTTATGATGCAAAGAACCCTCTACGCATGCAAAGGGTTCTTTGAGTATTCAGGGTTCTTTATAGAAGCATTTCTTTATTAAAGAACCCTTGAAGAACTATCTTTTTTAAGAGTGCATATAAGGAACTCTGGTTCTAAACCATTTCCCTCAATGGCATTTTCAAAAATCACTGCTGTCTCACACTGTGGTGAATAAAACTCTTCCAAACGTGAAGCGTTTTGCTGTACGAACACTTTTCCTCCAAATGTCACTGGATCTTCGGACTTACGAGGCCGTTAAGGAGTCGGAATATGAATATTGCCACATTTTGCCGCATTGCTGCACATTGAAATTACATCATAATACTGGCAAAGTTCAATAACTTTTGCTAAAAAATGTCTTTGCTAAACTTTCTTAGGAGATAAATATTTAAATAAATCACATTTTAAGGAATACAAGCAAAACACTGATAATGTTAGCAGAATTTGGTATTAGTGTATTGGTATGCAGCTTTATTTGCATTATTAATGAGTATTAAAGATATTTAAATTTAAAATTAAAATTAATTTCTGCCAGCGAAATGTTTTCACTGAGATGAAAACTTTTGCCAAAGCTCCAGTGATGGTTTTACAGTTTTACTGAAAGCAAAACATAATACACCACATCAGATGCAAATAAAAATATTAAATATGACGGTGTGCACATACATAAATTTGCTAGTGGGATATGCATAACTACACAAAAATATTGAAATGCATACATGCTGTTTACAGTTTTTACAGCTTTTTTTTTAGAAGGATGAAATTATTTCAATATAAATAAAACTTGAAAAAGCCATTAAAACTATCTCGCTGCTGTCGGAACAAAAGATCGTATCTCCATTTTTGCCATTTTTCAGTTTTTTGGTATAATCTGAAAATGCCTGTGGGCCTTTAGAGTATGTGTAGATTTTATGATGAATGGACCAAAAGAAACGACCCGAAATGACAATGAAAATTCTGGTTCCATTGACTTACATTAAAAGTAAAGTATGTTTTTTCCTTCTCCTGTAAAGTTACCATTTTGGAGATAGGAGGTTTTGATCTGACAGCAGTAAAAGGTTTATCATACATATAGGTGTGCATTTAGCTCTGTGATTTTCCAAAAAGGCCAGGGGCGTGTCCAGTCTCAAAATGTTGTGCACCGTTTTGCTGCAGTTTCCATGTTGAATGGTGTGTTTCATCTTTCATTAGGATGCCAAGAGTGGCCTTCTCAGCTGCCATAGTTGCAATGCTTGCATAACACAACAGAGTGTTCAACGCACCACTGTTTCCATTTAAATCAATATTTAACACATTAGTTTCCACAATAAACTGCGGAGGCCCTAAAGGATCGTGGATTTGCTTGCTTTTTTCACTTCATTTCCTAAAAAAACTAGTTATTTTTATTTGTTTTCTTGAGGTCTTATGATATTTATATGATTATCACGGCAGAGTGAATGTTTTATTCTCAAGATCATTAGAATTAACACGACATGACATTGTTTTACTGAGATAACATTCATTATGTCATGATTATGGCATAAATATCTCAAGATCTCAAGAAAGCAACATTTGTTGTCAAGATAATAATATAAATAACTCAAGATCTCAAGAAAACGCATTCAATTTACCATGATACTGACATAAATATGACAAAATCTCGAGAAAACGAGTAAAATTAACTTGTTTTCAGGGAAAAATGGAGTAAAAAAAAACATGCAAGGCTACTTACTAAGATTTTTCATCAATATAAACAATATAAACAATAAAAGCACTGATGTTTTACCGACATTTTGTCTCTCATATTGATTATCCCAAAATAAGAGAAAAACTGTCTCTGGCTCCGATACCCAGAGACTTTTTTTTGTATTTTAAAAAATACATATTTTATTTATTTTTATTTTTAAACATGCTACAAGGCAATTAAGCAACTGTCCACACTCGACACAACTTTTATTTCCTTCAAGAATGTTTAAATTTGTTTTGAGTGATCAGACGCAGAACACTCGAATGCTACGTTTGTCCAATCACATCTCACGTTGTTCGGAGGCCCCGCCCACCGGGCCATCCATGGCGCTGCAGTGACGGCCAGTGAGTTTACTTTCTGTTGTGTTTTAAACAGTTTTAGATGGAGAGTTGACTTTATTTCAGTCACAGAAGTCAGATTTCCACATTTTAAAGTCGCTAATAATGCGGACCGCTCAGTATCTCCGCACTGCGAACTCGTTTTGAGGCGAAGCCGGAGTTAGCTTCCTACTCGCCAGCCTCTTATTCGAACTATCCGTTCCACCTTAAGCGGTGCAGCTGAACGTTGGGGCGCTGCAGGAGCCGCAATATATATACACACACTGTACCATTTAAGGTGGAACGGAAACCTTGAATTGGGATAGCTAACTAGCATGCATTGCCATAGTAAAAGGATGGGAAGCGCGCTAAAGAAAGCTGACTAAGGCCTTCTGCTTGACTATGAGGCTCAAATTTCATCCAGATTTGTTGTAGAATGTGAATTTAATTGATAACCCTGGATTTATTACGTGGTTTAATGTGCCCACTGAGTTTTAGGGGTGTATAGGCTGCATTCATACTGACTTTAAAGGAGAACTCCACCTAATTTTAAGAATTTTTGCATTAACCCGTCTTTGAGATGTGAACAGAGTGATTCAGAGTGGTTTGGTGTGAAATGGTTCAGTTGCTTTACAGTGGTGGTGATAGGAACCAGGGGTCGCCATGACTACAACACAGATATAGACATTTTATTTACTATCCAGAACCACCAGTGAACCTACACGAGTCTTCTGAGTTTATGTGGAATGTTGATGATGGAAAAATTGTAGTAAATGTGAAAAAATAAACTTTGGGGAGTATTTTGTCTCACAGCATCCTTCATGTGTCCCTCGGCCACAAAAAAAATGTTTTAGGCCAGAGCTCTTCTACAGAACTATCGTGAAACTATAGTGTCTCAGGCATCGTTTTCATGACCATGTCATGTTTCTGCTTTAGAGGCAGACGTCTGGTTCCTATCACTACCACTGTGATCAATTCAGATTTGGTAAGCCTCTTTAGAACCTAGCATTTCACACCAAATATATCATTTTAATAGACATAATGGACTTTTGATGGACATAAAATGTGTTCCTTGAATTTAACAGTTCTTTTTCTTTTACAGGTCGGACTTCATCCATGTTTTCTGAGTGTAGGAACGTGTCTGGAAGACTCTTCACACTGAGCTGCCGTCTGTCTCCACTTAACCTCAGCTGTAGCGCCACCTTCAAAAGCAGTCGACACTCCCTGAGAGCGAACTTCTCGACACGCTCCTGTTCCTCTTTACGTTATTCAGCTTCTTATACGTTCTGCAACCGCCCTGTTCTTTTTCTTTCTCGCCTCTTCTCACTCCTTTCCTCTCCTCCTCGCTCTCTGAAGGCATCTCGTTGGCTTTCTCAGGCTGCTGTTTCCATGGAGTTAAAGGCAGTTCTGGAAGTTCTCGAGCAGCTCGCTCCGCTCTCATTGGCCGAATCGTGGGATAATGTCGGTCTGTTGGTGGAACCCAGCAAACCACGTCCAGTCAAAGCGATCCTGCTCACTAACGACCTCACATCCGCTGTTATGGATGAGGCCGAAGCGATGCAGTGTGACCTCATCGTTTCATACCACCCACCTCTGTTTCGGCCATTCAAGCGGCTGGTTCAGAAGGACTGGAAGCAGCGACTGGCTGTCCGAGCCATAGAAGGTGGGATTGCGGTTTTCTCCCCGCATACATCATGGGACAGCGCCAAAGATGGCCTGAACGATTGGCTGATTGGCGGATTAGGTTGGTTACTATTATTAAAATTGCCACAAATTAACACATTTTTTTATTTTCTTTTTCTTTTTTCATTCACTGTCTCTCCTTTCTGTCTTCAGGTGGTGGGCGGGTGTCGGTGTTAAGCCAAGCTCTCTGTAGCGCCCCCCAAAGGAATCGATTGGAGTTCACTGCCAGGAGTCAAGAGGAGCTCGACAGTATCATGAAGCTACTGAAGGAAACAGAAAACAGTGAAGCATTTCAGTACACTGTCCTTAGGTGTGTGGTCACTCACATATGAACTGAACTGTGTGTGACTACAGTGTCATTAAAGGGCCCGTATTACACAGGAACACAGTAATTTCAATAATGGTAGTAATTTGATTTTTATGAACTAAGCGTTTGATATAGTATGTAAACTTTAAACATACCATTTCCTCCCCCGACCATATATGGAAATTAAGCTCCAAAAACAGTCCATTTTGTACTCTTTGTTTTTGTGATGTCACAAAACTAATTGCGTTCACTTATATACCTATTCAGCAGTTTAGCTTTGCCATATTAAGATTGGTTCAGCCCAGTGACTGAGACACTGTTCTACGGTAGCTTTGCAAAGATTTCGGCTCTTTTCAGTTTTTTAAATACATTCTTGGCGGAGAGGTACATGCAGGGTGTTGTGAAGTAAAATAGTTCCTAAAGTAACTTCCCATTATTTTACCATCATCAATAGTGCATGTAAAACTCAGAGTGTAGTCATGGTGACCTCTGGTTCCTATCAACACCACTGCAAAGAGTCTCTACAATCAACCATTTCACATCAAACCACTCTGACGTTGCTTACATTTTAATATGCAGAAATTTAGAGAAATTGGTGGAATTCCCCTTTAAAGACAGCAACAAAAACAGCGTGTTTAATGCATAAAGAGAGGTTGGAAAATTGTCACAGAAAAGTGGATTACAAGAAAAATGTATATGTGTGGTTTGGAATCACACAATATATATACAAATATAGCATTAGTTATGATATAAATTAAACATAATAGGTTATATTAAATTCTAACATAATGTGGTTAATTATGAATGATCAAATAAAACCAGCAGGCTGTCAGACAAACGTGAAACTATCGTAACCTGAGATCCACCAAGTTCACTAGGGAATGACCTCGGTCAGTTAAAGGTTCACGCAGAATGTTCCTGTTTGAGCTGACCAGGATACAACAGGTCAGACACACTTCAAAGGCTGCTCGCTTTTTGGATGATGATGAGATTTTCCACATTCATTAATCTCTTCATCCGCTTGTTATCAGAAATGAGGAAGGGGGACAGCAAGTGATCCTGACCTGTCCCAGCTCAGCACTGACCCCTGTTGTTCAGACCGTGTTAGGAAACGCCACAGCCAGCCAGTCCCTCAGCATCACGCAGGTTCAGCAGGTAAGCTGTGAATTTATATCTAATATTCTATAGTTATTCTGTTATACGTTACCTGTCAGAGGTTTGGGGACTGAGAAATGTTTACAATTAAGTTAGAAAAAATACCCACAAAGATTTAGTCAACAGCTAAAATGGCAGTTAAAAGGCAAAATCTGACCAAAATGAAAAAGTTAACCATTATCACATCAGTTGTAAACATGCCTACTGTCTAATAGCGACACAGATTTCCTGGTTTAAACACGAGGAAAACCCACTTCTGATATGAATCACCAAGTTGGGAGGAACTTTTGAAAAGCTAAAGCTGCTTTGGTGACTCTGGTTTCCATTTAGTGCTCAGTAAAGATAGAATCTCTGTTTTCTTTATGATTTTGTCAGCTAGCCTAGCCACGGAGCAATAGGCTAATAAACACAACAGCACAGAGATTCCAAATCGCTGTATGATATTTTTGTGTAATGCATGCTGGGTATTGTAGTGTGAGAACACCGATGAACGAAAACATGAAAGTGATATAAAATTATAAATTCTTTCAAACCGATGAGGCTTCAGTACGGAATAACACATTACACAACAAATAACATATTGAACTCAGCTACAGGCCGGGGTGCCATTTTAATAGTAAAGTAATAAAACTGTATACTGTAAATATTAATACTTAATAATACTCGAAATACTTTGGATGCACTACAAATATTTTGGATTTATATGAGTTAAAGTGTCTTCTTTGGTATGAAGAGCAGGTTCGGCCTAAACATTTTTCCAAACTGCTTTTAAAAGCACATACTGAAACTCTTTTGGCCTAGAGGTGGTTTAAACACCTAAAAAGTGCTGATGAGTGTGACATCACAATAAGGGAATAACAGGACATTATTACTGAGGTGGGGCTCTTTCTAGTTCAGTTTTTCATTTTTTTAGAGAGGAAAATGGCAAAATCTAAACCATTTTCTATGTAATATGTTCAGTTATTTCAGTACGACAAAGAAACCCTGTTCATTTATATTAGGACATTCAATTGTGTCCCCAAACTTAACAGACAGTGTAGTTTTCTAGTGGGCTGCACGTATTATTTCTAACATGTACATTACTGTATAAAAGTTTGGTTTTATTTAGCATCAAGGTCATCAAATTTAGCTTAGCAGTTCATTAAATACATCACTAATGAGAAGTAGCACTGTGTCAACTGGCAAATATGATATGTTCATAATAAAAATCGAATGAAATCTGGACAGTTAATATACGTTCATTATTTCTGTTTTTTTTTTCTAAAACTGATATTTTAATTTATGTTAATTGTCATTGTACATATTGCAACTTGTAAAATGTAATGAAAAGCTTTAAAAACGTCTGTCTCTGTGAGATTTACTGTATTTAATTTTGTTTATATCTGTAGCCCCCCCATGCTGGGCTGTGGTCAAGGGCGACATATTGTTTTGGACGAGCCTGTGTCTGTGGCTGTGGCAGTTCAGAGAATGAAGACGCACCTCGGCCTGCCTCACCTCAGACTGGCCCTGGGAGAGCAGAGAACTTTAGGTAGGTGGGGTGGTTTAAGAAGTGCACTGTACGATTCTGGACAACGTTTGTTGATATTTGAACTCAACAGCAAAACAAATACACCCCTCCCTTTAGTGCTCCTTCAGAAGCTCCACCACCCGAATCCATGGATGCGTATTGCCAAAGCCAACAAACACTGGGCTGGAAAACTTGTGTTTCTTTATATCTTTGTGGCCATGAAACCGTTCGCAAACATTGTATGGACAAATACCACGTTAGAGCGAACAACGACACAGCAAGTAATGTCACTAACGTTCGCTCGGTAGTGGGTTCGCAAACTGTTGCAGCAGTTGCTGCTGTGAAGCTGACCAGCTGCAGATCACAAACATTAGCAAACGGGACAAAACAATACTGACCTATCGGTTCTGTAAAGCAGCAGAAATTAAGTTAATGTTGCCCACCTGTCAAGAAACAGAGCAACCTCCTCATCCCTTTTCAGGCCTTTCAGCTCTCCATGAAGCTGAAGTCAGCTCCTCATTCGCCAACTTCTTGTTTGAATTTTCCCGTTCCACCTTAAATGGTGCAGCAGTTACATTCAGGCGTCTCAGGCGCAGGATAGAACTGCAGCACTATTTAAGGTGGAACGGGAAAATGCAAATAGGAAGCCAACTTCAGCCTTGTCAACTTTACACACACCCAGAGGGGCCGTGACTTCATTCTGTGCTCAGGACCCTGTTACTCCACTGTGTCTTCACATAGAAAATAGCTGTTTGCTGCTGTATTCATGTTTAAAATGTTGTATGTAGAACCTTTTAAGATATGGAAATGACAGGAAGGAAGATTAAAGCAAAAGAAATCAGAATAAATTACAGTATTTTTTTACTTCTGATTACTTTGTAAAAGTCTGGACTCGACATAAAATGTGGTCTGTTAATCGCTATCATGATATTAGCCTTTGTTAAACCTGACATCACAGAAGGCTGCAGCATGCAAATGAGCCCTTTAACCTATCACAATGCTGTGAGCGTCCTGACCAATCACAGTTCTAGATGCGTTTCTGTGGGTGTTTTGATCAATCAGGGTGCTTCTGTAATCCAACAAAAGGAAATTATTTTGGTCAAAATAATGAAGGTCAGTCCTGAACACTTGAACGTGTCTTGAAACACATGATTGCTTTTGCAGTGCGTTTTTAATTTATCCCAGTCACGATATATAGCAGTATAATTTCAGTACTAACAGCTTGTTTTTGTTTTGGATCCCTGCTTTGGACATTTTTAAGATTGAAGATTTTAAAATCAAAGATCGAAGATGGCATCATGCTCCTTCTACATAATTTCATAGCCTGGGCTGTAAATATGAAAACCAACAATATGAGGAACTAGGGATTGATATTGTGATCAGATATTTGCCTAAAAATATCGGACACATGTTTAGATTTGACTGATATGTAATTACGTTTTTATTGCACTCTGGAAGAGTCAAATGGTTTAGGTGATGCTGGATCACTGCACTAAAATATCTGCATTTTATTCGTTGTACTGCATTTGTAACCTTAGACAAACAGCTGCTGTATCCTCTGTAATGTTAATCAAGGTAGATGTAGTCCCAGTTTCTAAATGTCATAAACGTTTGTGTTGGCATGGGCAGTTATGTACATTAAAATTATTGGATATTTGCACATCTACCATATCTGCAACCTACACAGCTGTACATTTGACCTGTACTGTGGGTCGAATGCCGTCTTGTGGTTTACTTTTGTTCTGACTGAGGTTGGGGACGAAGCTTCATCTACCAAGACATCTAAAGATATTACATTTAGGAATGAATTTGAAATATGAGCTGTTGGTTCACAAACACTACAGTATGAAAGCCCATTGGAGACTAAATGGTGAGATTTTGTCCTCTTTTCCAGCTGTAGATCAGGCCTAATCCTGGACTAAATTGCATGTCCAGTGGGGATTCTTTATCAGAAAGTCCAGAGCAGTGGTGCTTGTTGTCTGTAGTATTGACTGGACTTCATTACTGTCTGTTATTTTCAGTTGGTATTTATTGATGACTGTCTGTATTTCTAAAGACACGGTTGTGAAGACTGCGGCCGTCTGTGCTGGGTCAGGAGCTTCTGTCCTGCAGGGAGTGAAAGCGGATCTCTACATTACAGGTACCTTACAAAACACACAACACCAAACACCCTCAGCGCTTTTCCAGAAAGTTTATAAAGGCCATATCCTGCATTTATCTTGCATTTATTTGTTTCCCCTGAGGTCCACAAATGTACTGTTAATAAAAATAAAAATAATAGACTTTGAGAAAAAAGTCGTAATAATTTCAGAAAAAAAGTCGTTAAATTTGGAGGATAAAGTGGGCCTTTCCTGGTATTAATGCCACTTTAATGTCGTAATTCTGCGACTTTGTTTTCTCAAAATATTACGACATTTTTCTCTAAATATTACGACTTTATTCTTCAAATATCATACCGTATGACTTTTTTTCTCTAAATATTATGACTTTATTCTCAAAGTCTGCTATTTTTATTAACAGTGGCCCTAAAGTGCTGTTGTACTAATGACATTTGTGTTTTTATGTCAAAAAAAAAAAAAGCTTGAATTCATTTTACATGGCCATTTTCAAACCTCACCTCATCCCTTCAAATTAAACAGGCCAGCTTTGTTACTGTGCCTTTAAGACTGATTGATATATATGTAAAGGAGCTGTATTCTGATTGGTTGCGCTGTATCGTACCTCTCTCGAAAAGCAGAAATTAAATACTACACACTTAAAAATGATGGTTCTTCAGTGAAGTAAATAGTTCTCTGTAGATCCATGAACGCTTAAAGAACCCTTTACATCAAGATCTTTTTCACAATGCAAAGAACTCTTTGATCATGCAAAGGGTTCTTTGAGAGTTCATGGTTCTGTATAGAACCATTTTCATTACTGAAGAACCCTTGAAGGATCATCATTCCATCTTTTTTAAGTATGTGCATCACTTTTTTATTTCCAAAAAGTGAGGAGACTTTAGTTTTCCATGATTTAAGCCCTTTAAAACGATAGGAAAGGTGAACAGTCACATCATTATTCAGGTGAAAGCTGTTCCAGACAGAAGCTGAACGTGAAGCTGAGTGTTAGCTTTATGCTAATCAAATGCTAACTACTCAGTTAGCTGAAAAGTAATTTCAAAAGAAAGCAAACTTTTTGGCTCAGATTAGTTTCTTATTAGACATTTATTGATGTCATTTAGAATGAAAACTACAAAATGTAAATAAAAAATACAAAATAATTTACATCACATAATTTAAACGTATATCAGTTCTTTTAAACACTGGTCTGGTTGCCCACTCAGGTGAGATGTCCCATCATGAGGTCCTGGACGCCGTTGCCAAGGGAACGAGTGTGATCCTGAGTGACCATAGCAACAGCGAGAGGGGGTTTCTGAGTGTGTTTAAGGAGCGGCTGGCTGCCCGTCTACCGGACTCTGTTACCATAGCGATCTCAAGAAGAGACCGAGACCCCCTAGAGGTGGTGTGACCTCGCTGGCCCTCAGGGCACTTTATCCCGACCTTTTTCAGCGAGGGTCCTCTGTTATTGTCCGACACTGTTTAAAAATTTGGAATCATTTAATATACTATAATAATAAGATTTACATATAAACTAGACTCAAAAATGGATTTATATTTCAAACAATTTGGGAGCAATAAGTTATTAAATGATAAGTAATGTGTTGTAGTTGTCTATATACAATCTGCAGTGACATTTGATCACTACTATAAACAACCAGACTGGTTTCATATTAAGTGATTCCAAACTTTTAAACAGCATGACAATCCCAAAATATGCCACCTTTACCCATAGAAACGTATTCAAAACTAATAAAACTGCAATGCATTTGACTTGTAGTCAATTGTGAAACTATATGAAGGATTTTTGCTAAAAGAAATGTTTAGAAATAGTCTAACATGGAAGGTAGTATAGAGGAAAGTGTCATTTAGTGGGAGGGACGGGGTGCTTTCGAAGGTACTCTGACAGGACGGTGGGGTAGTCGCTCATCACTCCTGTAGCGCCGACTGAAAAGGCAGCGTCCATGTCGTTCTCCTCGTTACACACAAACAGCTGCACCTGAGAAAGAAAAGAGCGAGACAGAAGGAAAAAGATAAGCCTTTCTGATAAAACAGGGATAAAAGAGGCATTGTGAAAACGAAAAGACTGAAGCGGCGGAGGAGAAATACATCCTGATTGGATTTTCTTTGTGATTGGATTACAGAGCTGTGGCTGAAATGTGTCAGTGTCCATATGTTTTTATGTTGTACAGATATAATCCAGATTACGGCGTTGCGGAAAACATACCTGCATCCCACGCTTCACCAAGTGGTCAAACAGAGACTTCCTCATGGTCAGTCTAGAATGAAGAATAGAAAATAACACTTAAGGCCACCCACATAGTGACTACATAGGTAACACAGTTATTATGTAACAACATAAAGGGCCTTAAACTAAAGTGTAATGTTACAGTATTCATGACAGTTGACATAAGCCTAAGTTAACAGTTATTCCAGAAAGCGTCACTTGTCATAAAGATCTACTGTTGTCCATTTTGATGCCAACACAAATTCTGACACACTTCTGACACCAATGTAGCATTTTGTTTTTTAAAATACTGTTTTTCATTTGAGGTCAAGTGAGGGGAAAGCAGTGAAATAGAGGTTCTGTTTTTCATTTTTGCCATGTATTCTGGATGGTACTAGATGAAAAAGTGAAGTCGTGTGCGTTGCATTTCATATTTTTTCCACTGTAGTGATTGTATTTCAATTTGGCACAAATTCCTCTCCACACATTTCACCTCAGCAAGTGTTATGAAAGTGGACACTTGTTGGAATAAGCCTTATAAATGATTATATAAGTTTATGTCAGTTGTAACGAAAGGCTTATGCAGGTGTCGTTGCCTTTATGAATGCTACCCTTTGGTAAAGTGTTACCAACTAAAGTAACGTTTGTTCTGTTTGTAACTCTGTTATGAAGCATCGAAGTAAAAATAAACAGGAAAGTATAGCATTATTTTACCTGAATTGCAAAATTTGCATATATTCACTGTTATAAATGTAATAAATAACGTTCAGTTTAGTTTAAGGGCCTTTATGTCAGTACAGTGTTATTCCCCATGTAGGTAGTTTTACCAAAAACCCTCTAAACTCAACAAAACTGACCTCAATGGATGCAATTTTTTATGAATCTTCAAAGCTTGTAGAATTTACTTACTTTTCCATGAGAAAGACCACAAATCTTTTCTTCAGTATGGATTCTTCTGGAATGTAGGTTCTATAAGAGCACACACAATTGACATGTTAACCTACCACAGCAAAACAAAATAAGTTGCCAGTGTATGTATGTGATTTCACGCTTTGACACTGTATGACACCCTGTTATCTGTAAACATGGACAGATGTACGTTGCATAGCTAAAAACAGAGGCGGTGTGTTGTACAGGAAACTACATAAGCCTGTTTGATTATGCTTAAAGGGGCAGTGTAGCCCGAAAACTGGCATTTAATATTAAATATTATGTAATATTCTGTGGTGCAGCATTGTATCAATTTTTTCCAATTTTAGTCCGATCCAGTTCCTCCCGGTAGTTAGGATTCCTCCCATTACATGATACCATCAGCACTAGGAGGGCGAAGGCAAACACAGGCTTCTTCTGAGTCATATGAAGCACCACCGCATCTTCAAACGAGAAGGATCTAGCTGCAGAGCCGCATTACCGCGCTCTACCGGCTGTAGCATCACCAGGGATTGAACTTACGATCCTCTGATGAGGCCAGTGGATGATGATGTAGGCATGCAGTCAGCATCATGCTAACTAGTGAGGTGTTAGCTTCCATTGCTAATATCCAGCCAACAGCGTCCTGTGGGCAGCATCCTGTGACCACTGATGAAGGACTAGAGGATGACCAACACAAACTGTGCAGCAGCAGATGAGCTATCGTCTCTGACTTTACATCTACAAGGTGGACTGACAAGGTAGGAGTGTCTAATAGAGTGGACAGTGAATGGACACAGTGTTTAAAAACTCCAGCAGCACTGTTGTGTCTGATCCACTCGTACCAGCACAACACACACTAACACACCACCACCACGTAAGTGTTACTGCAGTGCTGAGAATGATCCATCACCCAAATAGTACCTGTTCTGTGAGGGTCCATGGGGGTCCTGACCACTGAAGAACAGGGTAAAAGAGGGCTAACAAAGTATCAGAGAAACAGATGGACTACAGTCTGTAACTGTAGAACTACAAAGTGCACCTGTATAGTAAGTGGAGCTGATTAAATGGACAATGAGCGTAGAAATAAGGAGGTGGTCAGAATGTTATGCCTGATCGGTGTATATTTCAGTTGCAAGCTGGAATAAATCTACTGATTCTTCCTCTTGTGGTTTTTAGACTGGGAAGCTACTGACCTGTTGATTATGCTGGGCAGGTAGAACTGTAGTAGACTCTCTCCCAGAGGCATGAAGGGCAGAAGGCCAGTGTAGAATAGCACCAAGAGGAGAAGGCCTCGTCTCATGGTGAAGCTGTAGGGCATGGCAGGGCACTGCGCAAGAGATTGAGCTGCAGTTATATATAAAGGTATATTTCACTGCTTCATTTTACAACAGAAACTGGCCAACAATGTCCAGACTGGGGGCAGCTGAGCAGGGCCACCTGGGGCAGTAAGGGTTAAGTGCCCTGCCAAAGGCAAAAAGGCAGACTAATCAAATCTAGCATCATGGTACTATCAACCCTCCAGTAGGGGTGGGCAATATGGAAAAAAAATGTATATGACAATACTTCAAGACATGATATGCATCACGATATTTTGTTTTTTATATGTTGGAACAGAGAAAATAGAATCTGTAGTGCCACAAATAAAAATACTATGAAAATAATAGTAAACTTACAGCTACAATGATTTTTATTCGATGTTTCACAAGAAGCACTGCACTAAATCTAATTAAACAGGGCTAATTGTGCACACATTGTAATACAACGTAGTTAGTCAGTGTTCTCAATGTACTGACGGTGCCCACGATATGCTCACAAATGCATATTGTGACATAGTTTATCACAGTAACGATAAAATATTGTCATATTGCCCACCCCTACCCTCCACTCCTAGGAACCAGAGTGTCTGTCTTTCTAAGAAGGCAGACACTCTAGGGCAGGGTTCACAACCCAAATGTTAAGAAGAGCCATTTTTTCCTTTTAACAAAAAAAAATCAAACCACCTTGAGAGCCACAACATTTTATGTCCATTTTACCATCTTGGCTGTAAATATGTCTCAGTGTGTGCTGATATACTAGTATGGGATAAAAATATAATATAAATGAAAACACAGACTTACTTTGCTCTACTTTAAGCTTTTGCTCAGCTATAGTCGCTTTTCTCACATCTCCAGCAGGAAACTTTTCCACAAAAGTAGAAGTTTCTTGTAAAATGTCTCTCAATGTTCGACTTTTTGCGAGGCTGAAGTCGCTTCTCATTCGCCAGCTTCTTGTTTGAATTTTCCTGTTCCACCTTAAATGGTGACTGAGGTGCCAGAATGTAACTGCTGCACCATTTAAGGTGGAATGGGACAATTCGAATGGGACTTTAGCTTTGCGACTTTTTAGTGTTTCAGTTTCTCACTGCAGATTAAACATATCAGGAAACGAGCTGGAGTGATTATAAATGCAAAATAAGTCCATTCGTCTCTAAATGTTCGTCTTAAATCTCTCTCTTTGCCGTTTCGTTAGCTACTAGCTAGGCGAAATTGTTGTATGTGTTGCTATGGTGACCAGCAGTCTGCGCTGGTCTTCAGGGTTAAAGGGTGAATTAGCAGTTCTACATTAACTCCAGAGTTTAAGACCATTTATTGTTAAACTGTGTTGAACGATCAGCAGAGCTTTATTTTACTGTAAAGGAGGATTATTTTATTTCTACCTACAAATCTGATTCTGCTGTGGAGCCACAACAGGGCAGTGAAAGAGCTGCACCACATGTTGCCGACCCCTGCTCTAGGATATAAGGCCCAGTTTCCCAAAGGCACTGTGAGCTACAGGCTAGTCTGTGAGTGCAGATTGTGACTTAAGGAATGATTGCAAAAAAAAAATAAATAAATCTCTGCTTAAAAAGGAAATGAAAAAAATTCAGCATAATTCAGTGAACGAGAGGTAAACATGATGATCTTATAGGTTTATGCTATCATGCTGTACCTGTTTCCTGCACTTTGTCATGATGTCCGAGTCTTCAGTGGCCCAGACGGTGATGCTCTCTCTGTTGTGCTTCTTCACTAGAGAGGAGACCTGTCGAATGTAGAAGAGCAAGTAGAATCTCATCAATTCCAGCTGATTACAGTGGTAAGATAAGGTAATCAGCAAGGCAAAATATGCTAATACCTTTTCTATGAGCACGTCATTGTTTTCCTTGACCTCGATGTTGATGGGCATTTGAGGGAACTTCTTAAAGACGTCCTCCAGCAGAACAAATTTCCGGTCCTTGCCTGTGCTGTAGTGCCCTGATGGAGATTTAGGGGATTTTCACTCACTGTCATCGGCATCCATTAGTTCAGGGTTCTCAAACTACCAGCAGCTCACATATTTACAATGTATTCTCAAATACAGCCCACTTGGGGGCCACCAGCTACGTGGTCTTCTCCATGAGGTCCGTGTGAAATACGCAGAAGAAAAAAGTGTCTCTGTTTTTGCAATTTATTTGAACCATACCAAACATATTCACCCATTTAAGCTCTTAGTCAGTGTGTGTTAACAAGTCTTCTGTCACTACTAATTGCAGCCAACTGCTACTACTGTTGGCATTACTGCTACTGAGCGCTGATTGGTTAGCATTATTGCTACTGAGTGCTGATTGGTTGGCATTACTGCTACTGAGCGCTGATTGGTTAGCATTATTGCTACTGAGTGCTGATTGGTTGGCATTACTGCTACTGAGTGCTGATTGGTTAGCATTACTGCTACTGAGTGCTGACTGGTTAGCATTACTGCTACTGAGCGCTGATTGGTTAGCATTATTGCTACTGAGCGCTGATTGGTTAGCATTATTGCTACTGAGCGCTGATTGGTCAGCATTACTGCTACTGAGTGCTGATTGTATAGCATTACTGCTACTGAGTACTGACTGGTTAGCATTACTGCTACTGAGCACTGATTGGTTGGCATTACTGCTACTGAGCACTGATTGGTTGGCATTACTGCTACTGAGTGCTGAATGGTTGGCATTACTGCTACTGAGAGCTGATTGATTAGCATTACTGCTACTGAGAGCTGATTGATTAGCATTACTGCTACTGAGCGCTTATTGGTTACTGCTAATGAGTGCTGATTGGTTAACATTACTGCTACTGAGTGCTGATTGGTTGGCATTACTGCTACTGATCGCTGTTTGGGTAGCATTACTGCTACTTAGTGCTGATTGGTTAGCATTACAGCTTCTGAGTGCTGATTGATTAGACTATCAGTCTAAATTAGAATAATAGCTGAGTTAGCTGTAGCTGTATTGCAGCTCAGTGTGCAGCCTTCATGCTGCACCTGGATTGCATATGAATGGTTCCTCTTTAGCATCATAATCATCAGTCTGAGCTGAGTTTATAGAGCTTATGTTGGGGAATCAGACACAGTGTCTGTGTCACTAACGAAAACGTAATGTAATGTAAATGTTCAGCTGCTAAAAAAGGGAAATAAAAGACTTGTAAGTATTTTTAAGTACAAATTATAAATACGTGATGCTGCTGGTAGTTTGAGACCCCTGCATTAGTTGTTAGCCATATTAGCATTGCTCGGTTGAACAACCTTGCATTGTGTTGAAGTCTGAACTGAAACTTACCGACGTAGAATGTGACCTCCAGTTTTTCTTTATAGGGTGGCAACTCCTACAATAAAAATGCATTTGGACATTAACATCATTGGGGCCGGTTAAGATTTATAGATGTGCAAACCATGTTGAGCAGAATTCTCATTATGCAAACCTGTAATTTCAGGGACGAGATGTCAATATTGTATCCAGTTTGTCTTTCAAGGTTCTTGTCATGGGACACGACCACATAACCATCTTGAGTTAAATGACAGTCCAGTTCAAGCATCTCAGTTCCTGCTTTCATCGCACTGTGGAAGAAAGAGAGGATGACTTTAGAGTGACTAAACGTGTTTGTTTATACGTGCATTTACTTTCTATTATTTAAAAATCATACACATTTGTACTGCTTGGCAGTATTGATGTTAGCATTAGTTGTAGTGGTAGTTTTAGTATTAGTTGTCAAGGTGTGAAATACTTGGGGTCCTGTGGGGTGTGGGACCTTCTAATGAACCTCTTGGACCCCCCTGAATGTCATTAAAATTCTAGGGGGTCCCTTAAATAAACCTATGCTCCTGGTTAGGTCTTTGGTATTCTTAACTAACTAGAGCTGCAGCGCTGGTCTGCCTCAGGGTGGCGATGTAGCAAACTGGTTGGGCAGGTTCCCACCAAATTGGGTGGATTTTGGGTTGGATTTGGCAGGAGAAAAAGTGCTTTGGTTTGGTTGGTGGACAAAATTTGGGCTGGTTTGTCATTATTTTGGTGGGTTTTTAAAAAGTATATTGAGTTAGTGAACTGCAGTACTTAATAATGCAGCTTAATAGGTCTAACTTCACACATCCAATCAGTCATTAAAACTTTGATTGACATACATTATAGTCTCTCCTGATTGCCCAGGTTACTCTACATTATTATTTTATTGAAATTATTTATAGTTTCTCTGTGCATGCGTTTTAGATGTTTGACAAGGATACTAAAAATGAAGTAAAAAGATTTGGATTCTTTGAGTTTTGGTTCTTCAATGAAATAGTTAAATGGCCTATTTCTTGGGTGGTTTATCGTGCATTTTGGCAGGTTTTGAACACTTTTTTTGGCTGGAAACTATAGAAGCAATCTGGCAACCCTGTCCGGTATACCACTGAAAATCTTTACAATGTTCTGTAGCAGATCTGTAAATCTGAAAACTCGCCCAGTTTCCCAAGAGTGTGGTGTAAAGAGTGACTGTTCCTCATTTCTCACACTGAAGACAGAAGAGGAGACGAGGAAGAAATCAGTCAATGTGAGGAAGCGCGCAGAACCGCACTAGAAAAGAGACTCTACAGAAGAACAACCACTAAACCAAAGATTTTGGTGCCATTGAAGTAGCACTAGCACTGCTATGGTGAGTGAAGGGGGTATATCACACACTAGCAGTAGTAACAGGAACAACAGCAGCAGTTGTACTAATACTTAGCTGTAGTAATAATAATGTTATTCCACTGTTACTCTTTATTACCCGACTTACTAACATTACAGTACATGTTGGGACAAATGACATCCCACCGAGAGATTCAGAAGTGCTGAAGAGAAGCTTTGTCAGACTCTTTTATCTGCTGGCAGACTGTGGTTAAAGACATGTTCATCTCCGGCCCTGTTCCCACTCTCAGACGTGAGAACGGGTTGTTCAGCGGACTGCTTGGTCTGCATTTGTGGCTGGAGTCACAGTACAGCCGCTTCTCCTTTTTATTGAGAATTGTAATCTCTTTTAGGGGCACTGTGAACTTTTTACGGAGGGTCAAATGTGCTTTCATCCAACACTTTCTACAGGGCTCTCTCAGCCTCCACAGCATGACTCAAACACGTCTCATCAACAACTGCAGCAGCCACCGCTGCTGAGACTCCATCCATGCTGAAAATCTGGCTTCCTATTTCAGAAGCCAAAATGCCCCTAGGTGTGAGTGTGAATGTGTATGTCTGTGTGTCTGCCCTGTGATGGACTGGCGACCTGTCCAAGGTGTATCCTGCAATCTAATGGAAAATCTCTGTTTACATGCTCACTACAAGCAATCAGATCCAAACTGGCACACATGCGTAGAGAACTTGGTGCAGACGTTACCATGACAACGAGCATCACGTGAGTGTTTTTAATTCCTCTAAAATTCTGTTTTTAATTCCTTTAAAATGATGTCAGACTCAGGAAAACGTCCTTCAAATGTCCTTATTAAAGAAGGCTGAGAGGAAGACGTCGTGTTCTGAGACGCATAAGCTGGACGTCCGTCCCACCTCCGTCTTTTAAAGATCAGAGCATAAACTTCGTCTCCTCTGCAGACCAGTTTCTGCTCCGCCATGTTGAACGGTATAAGCTTTCACTATGACGCGACGAACATGATCAGAACGGACTTAAACTGTCTGATAGGGAATGTAATCAGATACAGGCGTTTACACGGATATTATTCTTCTATTTAACGGATTATTTACAGGATTAACCACCTCGATCAGTCGGATAGGAACTGTATTCAGAATGGCCTCAATCAGACTAGACTATTCAGACTGAGGTGTTTACATGAACGTATTCTATTCCGATTGAGCGATTAGTCAGATTATTAAAGGATTACAGGGTGTGAGGAGTCAATTTAGAAAATGTCATTTCAGTGGATTATGGTACAGTTATGTTTCCTGACTAAAGGTACTGAGATGGACCCTTGAGGGTTCCACCCCAGTGGGACGTGTACTGCCCCAGTGACGGTCTAGTACCTTTATTTCTGAGAGTGTTTTGTAAAGTGTTGCCAATATATTAGAGTCACAATGTTGTATCACAACCACAGTATAAAAAATGATTATTATCATGTGTACTGTAAGACCCTTAGTCTTTTGCAGTGGAGTATTTCACAGTCAGGCCTGGAAATGTAACTAAATTGGATAGAATTGAATGGAGAGAGACGGAGATACTTACTGTGTAAAAGCCTCAGTAGTGTTTTCTATCTTCTCTCCAGCACCTGAAGACCAAAAGATCATCAGACGCTTAAGCAGAGCAGAACTAATAAACACACATGACCAGAGAGTGGACCACACTGCCAGAAAAAGGTACAGTTTTCGTTCAAGGTACAAACAATGTAAACGTGAGGCACAACTTTGGTTTTCAGGTCTAATTTTGTACCTTAAAGAAGTTTTTCTTTAAGGTACATTTTTGTAGTTTTTCATAGCCGAATGCTTTAAAACTCTACAATAAAACAAGGTTAGAGACGAGACGGGGTGTGTGGAGTCAATACAACCTAAAATGAATTGCAATGGATTATAATACGATTATGTTCCCTGACTAAAGGTACTTAGATGTAGCCTTGAGGGTTCCACCCCAGTGACTAGAGGGGCACTGCCCCAGTTTTTAGTACCTTTTTTCTGAGAGTGTGATAGTGGATAAAAGCAGTACAGAAAATTGTTGCATATTACAGTGTAAAAAGTAATTATTAAAAGAAAAAAGAAGAGTGGACACTCACCTCCTCTGTGGGAAATGTGTCTGCATTGAAACGCCAACTGTTTCTTCTTGTGGAGAATCTGAGGGTTACGCAGCAGATAAACAGAACACAGGACGTAAAAAAGTCCAAAAGCCAAGAGGCACAGCACACCGACCACAGCGTCCATTCAGACGAATCAGAGCTCGGATATCAGGTAATGATATCTTCTCTATTGTCCTGCCTTTCTTATATAGTGTAGCTAAAGCATGTGAGGGGACATGTGAATGGTTGTGTGTGCGTATATGTGTGTGTGTGTGTGTGTGTGTGTGTATGGGAGTGGGTGTGTGTGGTCAGGTATGACACAGCGTGAACGTACTGCTGGATGAAAAACCTGAAAAAAGTCACACTGGCATTCAATCATATCCAAACATTCCCTATCTGCATTGAGTAACGCTGGAAACTGAAACTGAGTCGTGCTCCGGCTCTGTTAACTGGTGGGAACCTTTTTCTGAGCTACTGTACGTCTCATGACTTATCTCAGCTTTTCTCTGCTCTGCTCTGTGTTCTTTCCATAGGAAATCACATGAACAGTGGACCGCAAACCAGCCCAGACGTACCACCGGAACACGACATGGCAGAACACGATATCCTCTTTCTAAGAGATCTGGCCTTTCAGGCTCTGGGTGCCAAGGTGAAGTACGGCTTATCACAACTGAGGCCACAGAGCTGCTCCCACTTCCCTCCATGGAGGAGTTGCACAATGAAGAAACTGCTGATCTTGCTTTAAAAGGACTGTCTGTCACCCTTTGACCTCGCTTTTACAGGAGGTTCACATCAAATACATCAGTTTCTTTAATCAGTAGATTAGTGAGTAAAGATGGGTGAGTAGAGTGAGAACCTTACAGTGAATCCCATAGGAAATACATTCACCTGTGTCCATTATGAAGGACACTGATCAGGCATAACATTCTGACCACCTCCTTGTTTCTACGCTCATTGTCCATTTTATCAGCTCCACTTACTATATAGGTGCACTTTGTAGTTCTACAGTTACAGACTGTAGTCCATCTGTTTCTCTGATACTTTGTTAGCCCCCTTTTACCCTGTTCTTCAGTGGTCAGGACCCCCATGGACCCTCACAGAGCAGGTACTATTTGGGTGATGGATCATTCTCAGAACTGCAGTAACACTGACGTGGTGGTGGTGTGTTAGTATGTGTTGCGCTGGTACGAGTGGATCAGACACAGCAGTGCTGCTGGAGTTTTTAAACACTGTCCACTCACTGTCCACTCTATTAGACACCCCTACCTTGTCAGTCCACCTTGTAGATGTAAAGTCAGAGACGATAGCTCATCTGCTGCTGCACAGTGTTGGTCATCCTCTAGTCCTTCATCAGTGGTCACAGGACGCTGCCCACAGGACGCTGTTGGCTGGATATTGTTGGTTAGTGGACTATTCTCAGTCCAGCAGTGACACTGAGGTGTTTAAAAACTCCAGCAGCACTGCTTTGTCTGATCCACTCAGACCAGCGCAACACACACTAACACACCACCACCACGTCAGTGTTACTGCAGTGCTGAGAATGATCCAGCACCCAAATAGTACCTGCTCTGTGAGGGTCCATGGGGGTCCTGACCACTGAAGAACAGGGTAAAAGGGGGCTAACAAAGTATCAGAGAAACAGATGGACTACAGTCTGTAACTGTAGAACTACAAAGTGCACCTATATAGTAAGTGGAGCTGATAAAATGGACAATGAGCGTAGAAACAAGGAGGTGGTCATAATGTTATGCCTGATCAGTGTTTGTTGCCAGCATAGATGATTCAGCTGAACTGGTTCAAAGTCAGAGCTGAAACACATTTGGGACTTTTAACTGATCTTTGACTTTAGACTAAAATCCTTTTGCTTTGAGTGACCCTAAACCTTAATTATGTTTATTTTATTAAAATTAATGACTGAACATTCCATTTAGTCTCTACCAAAACAATCATAACTCAGTAGTGACTGTTTCTGTGACAATTTTAGCTCATTTTGAGCTCAAAAACACAGCCAATACATGAAAGCCAGCAAACACAGCTTTGAACAGCTGTCACACATAAAATCATCATATTTTTCATTAACTGCAGAAAATATGACAGTTCTTAATGTTCCACACTGAGTTTCAGACTTTGGGACACATTTACTTTAAAACAATGGGATCTAACTGCTCACCATGTTTTCCTTCCTACATGTTTTACTTGTGTTATATAGTTTTATTTAGTACATCCAGTTCAACTGTCTACATAATTATTAGTAAAATAATTAAAAAAACATCTGTATAAAATAATTTTATTGATTGTAATGATATTCTTACAGAAATCTTATATATTAGATATATTGACTACATGTAAGATGGTTTCATTTGGCAACATTTTCTCGAAGAGCAAAATCTGTTGAATCACAGTAACTGTAACAGTAAGAACCTTATGATATTATGAAACTTACAGTGACATCATCACTTTGACTAATGTTTTTCAGTTTCACATTCACATTGAACGTCACACCTCATCGGCCTCCACTCAACTCAGACAAATGACCAAACCTGTCAATGGTCGGTTGCCCCAGTTATTCATATATTTATGAATAATTTATTCATATATGTTTCCCGTTTATTAATGTCCAGAATTTCCAGTATTTCAGAAGTGGTTAAATCTCGAGGTAGATCACTTATTTTATCATTGAACTTCACTGTTTGGATGGTAGTAACTGTTTTGTGTGTTAAATATACTACTGTTTGAAATGACTTTGAAATCAAAGTAATATTTCATGTAGTTGAATTATAACTTTCATAATGTAGAAATTTTGAAATATTGTAATATTGTAAATGATTTATTGTTTTTATTGAAGAATTCTTCTTTTTTTGCTTTTTTGCAGGGCACAACAATCAACAGATCACTTCTCATGTTATTAATGTAAGTTGTATACATATATATAGGTATATACATATATATATATATATATATAGATAGATAGATAGATAGATAGATAGATTTTATTTTAAGATTTAGACAGTAAAGTTTAAATATTGTAAACTAGACACTAATTAACATTATTCAGTGTTTTGAGTATTTTGGGAACAAGTATTTATTAAATGATAAATAATAAACTGTAATTATCAACTTACAGTAATTTTTTTACAATTTTTTACCTTGAGATCTGAGCCCCAGCTGTGAAAACCCATATTTTAACCATTCCACCCTTATTATGGATTATCAGTTGTTTTGTTTTCTGTTTTGTACAACATTTTACATTAAGAAGCCAAATTATGCTTTATTTACATTTTAGTGACCCCTTTAATTAAATATCAGACATCGAACAATGCCACACCGTGCTTATATGAATTTAACAAAAATGTCACATAAACTGTTTATCGTTACGAAGACTCACAGTCACCCCTTTTGAAATATGCAAGGCATTCTGGGTATTTATTTCATTAGAACTCCATCAGTCTGGACATGAATTGTATTATAACCAATCCTGATAATAATTTTGTTAGAAATTGATTCTTGATGATTTACATCTTGATGATTTACATCATTATTGTTTGGCATTTTTACATTTTTTTAGTAATTATATGAAATCTGTGAATTTGCGCAGTACTAGCATTGTAGTGCAGTTATCTGATGCTATGTATGTATCCATGTATTTGCAGCTAAATAAAGGAAATAGCTTATTGCTCTTTTTACAAAATGAGGACAAAATATAAAAACATAAATAAAATAATTACATTTCATGTATTATTTATAAGAATTAAAGTAAACAGTTCTTCTGCAAAGCAGTGTAGTAGTGTAGTTCATTAACCCCTTAAATGGTCAGGTCCCGCCGGCAGGTCCAAAGTTTTATTACACACTTCTGTAATCTAAGAACAGCTCAGCCAGTTTGCATTGAAGTTACTGATTAATAGGCTTTAGTATGTAATAAGCCTGGAACTTTAAGGGGTTAAACTGTAGACTATGATCAGCAAGCAACATACACTATATGGACAAAAGTATTGGGACACTCCTCTTAATCATTGAATTCATGTGTTTCATTCAGTCTCATTGCCACAGGTGTATAAAATCAAGCCTCTAGCCATGCAGCCTGACTTTATACACATTAGTGAAAGAATGGGTCTAAAGAGCTCACTGAATTGCAGCAAGTCAGTTTGTGAAATGTCTTCCCTCCTAGATATTCCACGATCACCTGTGAGTGGTTTTATTGAAGAGTGGAAGCATTTTGGAACCACAGCACCTCAGCCACAAAGTCTCAGACCATGTAAAGTTACAGAGCGGGTTGCCGAGTTCTGAGGAACTTAGAGCATAGAAGTCTCCAACGATCAGCACAAAAACTGCACCGGGAGCTTCATGGCAGGGTTTCCATGGTCGAGCAGCTGCATGCAAGCCTTACATCACCAAGCACAATGCCAAGCGTCGGATGGAGTGGAGTAAAGCGCCGCCACTGGACTCTGGAGCAGTGGAAACGTTTTCTGTGGAGTGACCAATCAGCTTCTCTATCTGTCAGTCTGATGGACGAGTCTGGGTTTGGCGAATGCCAGGAGAACGTTACCTGCCTGACTGCACTGTGCCAGCTGTAAAGTTTGGTGGAGGAGGGATGATGCTATGGGGCTGTTTTTCAGGGGTTGGTCTAGAACCCTTAGTTCCAGTGAAGGGAAATCTTAATGCTTCAGCACCAAGACATTTTGGACAACTGTACACTTCCAACTTTGTGGGAACAGTTTGGGGAAGAACCTTTTCTGTGCCAGCATGACTGAGACCCAGTGACCAAAGCAGCTCCATAAAGGCCTGACTGGGTGAGTTTGGTGTGGAAGAACTTGACTGGCCCTCACAGAGCCCTGACCTCAACCCCATCCAACACCTGTGGGATGAACTAGAACGGAGATTGTGAGCCAGACCCTCTCGTCCAGCATCAGTGTCTGACCTGACAAATGCTCTTCTGGACGAATGGGCATAAACTCCCACAGACTCTCTCCAACATCTTGTAGAAGCTTCCCAGAAGAGTGGAAGCTGTTAGAGCTGCAAAGGGGGACCAACTCCATATTAATGCCCATGGGTTTAGAATGGGAGTCATAAAAGCTCCTGTAGGTGTCCCAAAACTTTTGTCCATATAGTGTAACTGTCAAAGATTATTCAGTGAACAGCACAATGGTGCACACTTGATGTGATTTGTGTATGGGTGTATATTGCCTGCGTGGGTGTATATTGCGTGTTTCATAGTGACTTTGAATGTTGCAATTATATTTTAGAACTGAACATATCTGTTCTATAATTGGTAGACTGGAAACAGTGGTTCTACACTTTGGAACCACAGTGCGTACCGAGTCCTTAAAACAACATTCAGCCTTTTAGGTTCCCGAGTAACCAGTGAACTGAGTTTGGGCCTTAAAGCTACCAATGAACTTAGTTTATACTTGTCATTTAAATAATCTCTGTGGTGTCTGTTTACTGTCTGTGCACTAATCACATTAGTAGCGCTGAGTTAACAGCTATTTAGTGGGGTTGTGTTACAGTGGAGGTGTTAAAGATTGACTTTACAGTTGAGCAGCACAGTAAACACAGTCAGCTCTTGTTCATGAACAAAAACACACTCATTACCACTAATGTAGATGAGCGTGTCCGTACTGCTACTGCTACACACCTGTCCACTCATAAACACATTAAAGGTCATTACGCCTAACACAACGCCCCCCCATACACCCATGCTGGGGAGTAATGACCCCAGCACCTCCCTGGGACAGACTTCAGGAGGAGGAGCGTTCACACCTCCACTTCCTCCTCTCTCCCAGTCTGGCTTTCATCCCCCACTTCAGGTGCCAAACAAAAACAGCAACTACAACAACAGATTCGAAGCCCTGCTGTCGGAGGCGCTGACCGAAGACCAGGGGTTACGTCTGTAGGAGGCTTTCAC